TATCCATGATATAATAACTACCGAACAAATAGTACTTGCTCAAATCAATAATTAACGAGAATATCGGTACAACGAATATCGTGACAATTTTACGGTGGGGGCGCACTATAGGGCGTCAAACAGGGTAAAGCATTTCACACTAAACTCAATGTGTTTTTCAGTATAAAAAAAGTGTTTTTAATAGATAGCGAGATATCAATCGATTTGTTTGCAGACCTAAATTATTACAGTATATCTCAGTATTTAAATGAATATATCATTCGCTAAAAACAATTTATTGATTATTGTTTTCAATGTGAAAGTACTGTACTATATATAGTACAGTACAGTACAGTCGTATGTATGCAAAATACTTATTAAGAATTTAGATTATAATTTTATTTTATAAACCTTTTCAGTATAATTAAAACCGGAGCATATTTAAGCTTAATCAGTGAATTTATTAATAAACTAAATAATTATATTATATTACAATGAAAAGTAAAATATAGAAAGGTGACTATCTAAGGACTAACTATCTAAAAACTAATATAAAAATGAGATTAATAACATTTAGTGCAACTATACATTGTACCGATAATCTCTCTCTCTCTCTCTCCCTCCCTCCCTCTCTCTCTCTCTCTCTCTCTTTCTTTCTTTCTTTCTTTCATTAAATAAAAATCCTTAAATATTACAAATGATTGTGGTCTTTTAAAATGCTCCTTGATCATACGATTCATAGACATGCACCTAAGCGTGTGAACCTTAATCTTTGATAACAACTACGCTATTTGCCCTGTCTCATTTATAGTGTATTTTAGTTTAGATTCCACAATGCTGTATATAATGATATTTATTGTGAATTGCATGATTATAATCAGTTAACATGAAAGAGTTAACAAATATCTTACCTATTACCACTTGAAACTAGCCTCACTCCTATTTATTAAAATAATATGTTACGCAATAAAACTGTATATAAGTATCGCAAAAAGTAGCTCGATATTCATAATAATATTATTTGTTAATAATATAAACTTTAAATATTTATTATAAAAAAATTATAGCCATGTTTAAAACTATATTAATAATTGCTTTCTCAATTGCTGTGGGTATGTACTATTTATCCATATAATTACTCTATTGTAAACTAAAATAATTAATTAATTTTTAAATAAACTAGGTGATTGCGACCCTTTTAAGGACGTAAAGGCATGGGAGGCTAGCGTAAAAGCTGACTACGCTAAACTGACCGCGGTGGAACTAGTAACAAAAACCGATAGTAGCATACAAACACTTTTTAACTTGCTAATACCAGCGGCCGACCTACTACTCAAAAACAACATGACCGCCTCGGCCGAGAGCTACCTGGCCATCGGGGACTTCCTAAAATTAGCCAGCAACACTTTCTACCAGTCAGTGGACAGGGAATCGGCAAATCTGACGTTAAGGGCCTCCCGTATGGCCGAGTATGGGACGGTGTTTGAGGTACTGGCCCGCAGTGCCACCGTTGAGGCCAAGGAGAGAAAGCCGTTGAACGTGACGGACACCGAACAGGCCCTACATATCAAGTTTTATGACGTGCGGTCCCAGTTTAAAATGATGCTGGATACTGTGGCTGCCGGTGAGCATAAAAGGGGACTGGAGATATGGGCCGGGTGGCATGATACGGTATGTGCCAAAATGTGCTATTTTGTATTATGTGTGTGTGGTTAATTATTTATGAACTAGATAAATAAAATTTATATCATCATTATCAATTAATAAAATATAAATTTTATTTATCTAGTTTATAAATATTTACCTACGATAAATAATTTATAATGTTATAATTGTTATTATAAGTATAATTACATAATTTGACATTGCTTGTATAGTTTAATAAATTATTATAATTTAATTTAAAAACATTTAGAAAGTTAAATGTTTATTAGTTTTTAAAATTAATTACAAACAATTATCTAATGTAATTAAAATATTTAACTGTTCATGTTTAGATATCAAACTTTTTGGCTCAGGGCTACACCAGGATCGACGATACGTACGCAGTAGTCGTACCCCAACAGCAAAGGGCGGCCTTTTTTCAGTTGCTCGTCGACGACATTACCTATATTTATACATTTTTCAAAACATTAACCGGCAAATAATCTAGTCAAACTTGCTAACATAAATTGTTTGAAATTAAGTACATTTTACAAGTTGTAACAGAAAACAAAAAATTTATTTTAAATAAATACAAACACAGTATAATTTGTTAGATTATAATAAATGCAATGATTATTTTTATATCAAAATAATATACTGACATCTAATGTATAGCATAGGTGTACACAAGTGTACGTTAAAGGACACATTTCTACATTGCTAAAATTAGTATTTGTGCGTGCTACTCATTTTTGGACGTCTATTAGATAGAGTAATATCATTAATAAGAATATCTGATAGGACATTCCGATAAGTGTATTAGAAAAATGCTTTAATCTTAAGCTTCCAATATTGCTTTAAACTTTACATGTAAGTTATATCTAAGTAATATGTAATTATAGCAAAGTTATTATAGTAATAAATATTAATGAGTTTATTTTAATTTATTAGTTAGTATATATTATTAAATTAGTCCATTTTTAGTGCATATTGGTTTCAAAAAATCATAGTAGTTGTAATTTAAAATATTTTTATCACTTATTTGTAATGTTACTAACCAAAAATTATTTTTAGCATTTTTGTTGTTATTTTAGTATTATGTAATTAATTTAAATTTAGCAAAAAAAATTTTGAGTCACATAACATCAATTTTTTAATAATTATATTTATGTATTTATATATAATATTTAATATACCAAATTATTAACCCTTTAATACGTAAGCATAGAGATGCTTGTTAATTAAATAAAATTAATGTTAAATATTTTAACGTTATATGACTCAAGGGTAATTTAGTTTTTAATTAAATTAAATCTAATTACGGAATACTAAAATATAAAACCAAAACTAATATAATTTTGTATAGTAAAATTACTTTTTATGATATATAGATATAATTAATCTTTTAATATTTTATAATTATTTGTTAATCTCTATCATTTTACTAATTATGATGATATTCACAAAAGTTAGGCATATTATTAATGCAATGCACATATTGGCTAAAATATTGTTAGTATTAAAAAAGTATATAATGTGTTAAAATATGTTAAAAGGAAGCTTTATAAAATTATATGTTTCATATTGCTAAAATAATAATTTTTAAACATTTTATTAATAAAATATTTTTTAAACTAACAACAATAAAATTATAACTTATGTAAAAACATAAATAACGTATCAGACAATTTTTATTATAAACATAATTGATTAATAAATAGGTTTTCATTTTAAATATATTTAATAAATCCATTGTATATTTCAAATAATCAATATTATAAGAGATATACAACTTTTTATCACAATGTCACAATATATTATACTTTGTTTGTTATGATTCAAATTGCATTTAAACTAAATCACTATAGAAACTAAATTAAACCGACAATAAATAACAATATATACTAGAAATATTAGTTATACCTAATTTATTTTTTGTAATTTGTTTGAAAGTAATTTCATTGCATCAATCATTAATTATTAATATATTAATTTAGTGATTATAATTATACATTTTATTATACTAAAGCATTTCAAATATAGTTTGCTAAATAAAATAATTTTATATAATACAAAGTTTGTTATATGAAACATAAAATAACTTATTGCAAGCTATAAATAATGGTGTTATGAATAGGGTGGCCAACTATTTTCATGGCCCTGGAGGACATATTGTCAAAAATAAAGTTGGTCAGGTGAGCACTGAGAACATTTAGATTTTTAATTTTATTCATTTAAATTTTAACATCTGCTGGTTTCACAATAATATACACCTTTTATTCATTGATTTCAAAAATAGATTAAAAATTAAATAAATAATTGCAATGTCACAACCGACAAATTATCTTTGGGAAGATACTTTATTATCCTGATACTCTCGGGAGGACCGTTTTTTGAGGGGTTAATTGGAGAACAACCCTCCTAAAGGAGGACGGTTGGCAGCCCTAACTGGTATGTAAGGTTATGTATGGTGGTCGTTTGCTTTATTACATATTGGAAACATGAATACTGATAATTAAAAATAATTTTGTTTATACAGTATACTATTTTGATCATGAAAAACTTTATTTATTTCAATTTGCATGCAATTTTATTATTCCCCACAATGTGAACAAATAACTAATTACTATGTAATATGTTCAATCTAATTAATAATCACAAGTGCATTTATTTTATAACATATTGCTATAATAATATCAAATAACACAGAATTATAATAAACATAATTATCAGTATGAATCGGGTAATATTATTAATCGTGTTTGTCGCCGTGTTAATCCAATTAGCCCAGGTTCATGGTATGTTGAAAAGGGTATTGTGTGCATATTAAATTAATAATTATTGCTCTAGGTGAATCTTGCAAAAAGGCCAACGAAGAACATACAAAGTGCGGGTCGTGTGAGAAGTCGTGTGCGGACAGGAATAAGGAGATGATGTGTGCGTCGGTCTGTCGTGAGGGCTGTTTCTGTAAGAAAGGGTATGTCAGGGACGCCAACAAGGATTGTATTGAGCCGGATAAGTGTCCCAAATAACAACATTAAAATAATTGTTACTAAAACTAAAATAGAGTTTTAATTAAATTTATAATTAAATGTGCATTCATTACATATGCGATGCTAGTAATAAAAATTTAATAAAATATTTTATTTAATAACTTCAAATAATTATTTAATTTAAATAAAATTTTATAAAGAATTTTAAATTAAAGTTTAGAATATATTTTGTTAAAATTAAATAGAGACAATTGTAAAACAAAGTAGTTTAATATTTTTAAAAATTTTTTATATTAAAAAGTAAAATTATTACACAACTACATTTTAATATGCTGCAATTAATAAATAATAATTAATTGGAATGTACGCAATAAACCTTATTAATAGAAAATTAATTTATAACTTTTCAGCCAGATTAAATCACAACTTGGCAATGTTTGAAAAACAAAGTCATAAATTTTCTTATTTATACAGGTGTAAATCTTGTTACCCTGTTTGACGCCCTATAAGGCGCGCACTATCTGAGAAAAAAAGTGATTTTTTTTGGGAAAACGTAGAAGGGCGCACTATACGCAGGGTGCGCATTATCTGAGATAATTATATATTTAGTATATAATTTTTTAAAATATTTAATATAATTTCAAATTAACTGGAAATCAATTATAAATCAAAATCTTCAATATCTTAAAAACTAACTTAATTCAATCAATAATAGTAAAAATACAGATAACCCTTATCACTAATAATATTATATTGGTACTAATGTTATTTCACTACAACAAATAAATATAATTTACCTTTACATCAAAGTATTTTATAGCTAAATAACTCTTAATTTAAACTAATTGTGCTAAAAGTGCTTTTCAATTAAATATATACTAATATAAATGTGGCAAATATTTATCACTAATAATTTTGTATGAAATTTTAAAATTTATAATTTTATCTTATCAATATCTTAAGTTAAACTTATCTCTAGATATCTCAGTTGATCAGTTGTCTTAATGTCATTTAAATTCAATTCATCTATACCTGGGTTCATATATTTATGTTATAATATGGGCGCACTATACGTAGGGTGCGCACTATCTGAGTAAAAAACATACAATTTTGTAAATAATGAAAGCGCACTATACGGTGGGGGCGCACTATAGGGCGTCAAACAGGGTACTTTAATTAATTAATTAATTATCTCTAATATACAATTTTTACCATCGAAAGTACCTATGTTAGAGTGGTCTCCAGATTATCATGTATAGATTAGACTCTCAAAATATAAATTAATAGTTAAAAATAAAATACATAGTTTTATATAAAAACCAGATTTATATTTATTTAATATAATGTAAAATAGCATTCAATAAGGTTAACATAAAATACAATACAATTTATATGACTGACACTCAAATTGAACTCTCCGTGCATTCAGTATTACAAACAATTATATATTAATAACAAACAAAGTGTAACTTGATACAATTCACATACAATATTAGGTACAGTATGATAGTGATATACAGTGAATAATAATATATAAATGACAAGAATATTCTTAATATGTTACGTCAGTGTCGTAATATCTATGTGTTTATTTGAATAAAAATCACAAATATGTATAATTTATTATTTTATTTAACAGATTCAAAAAATATAAAGTTTGTCCAAAATTATGAATAATTAATTATGTTTTAAAAATATGTTATACAGTATTGCTATAGTGCAATCGTATTAATAAACTTTTAATAATCAATTAATATACAGTATAATCGACCTTGGTTACTGTTTTCGCTGAGCCTGACAACTATAATTACATGAGCAAGCACGTATTGCCAGAGTTTTTAGACATGTTGGTAGCCAAGGTGTTGGAAGCTGAAAAGAATCACCAAGATGAATCGTCCTCTTATAATGTGCGTGTTAGCGAGGTGCAGCAAATTCTTACTGAGCTGGCTAACGAAATTAGAGAGATTTTTGATAAAGCACCCAACGCGGACCAGGGACATAGCATTTTGGATATGGCAAAGGTGACAGATATTTACAACAAGGTCATTTCGGAATCGGGACCCGCTATTAACAGTCAAACCGAGGATGGTTACCAGGGGTGTCTGAGATCTTGGTACTTTAATTTCGGTAATGAACTGAGCTTGGCGGCCGAGGTGCAGATTTACACCCATAAAGATCAAGCTTATTTGACTGATGCCTTAAACGCTGTTCATGAGGCATTTGAAAAAATTAATGAAATATTTTCCAATTTTGATTGAATGTATAAAGTAGGCAGGTCCAAAATTATCAATACTGCTATATAAGTATATTTAATGGGTTGTGTAGACATTCTACATAAACCTGCCCTTCTATATATGAATAAAATAAATATTTTAATAATATTATTAATTTAAAATAACAAAAAAGTAACTTATTAGTATATTGTTGTAAAGCATTAAAAAACTAATTATGTAAAATGACTATTACCACTAGATCCTTAAAAATATAATATTGTGTAATAGGGGACAGGGAGGGTGGTGGCAATGTGTGAATATTAAGCTATGATTGTAATGAATGTAAACAACTTTAAAGTTTCTAAATAAAATATTTCTTGTAATACTTCTATGACATTTATTAAATATGCAAGTACCAAAAACTATCGTTGTATAAACAATTATTTTATGCAGCAACTTGCTTACAAAATTGAGATACAAATAACTTTAATTAGACTAAATTAATAAAGTAAAGTTTATTGCTAACCAAATAATAAATCTCATATAATCTCATATTAATAATAAGATATTATCAACAACATATTTATTAATTATTTTAACATTAAAATTAATCTATTGCTAATATTAAGACAATTACTTTTTTAATGAACGTGTCATTTTTCACTAACAAAACATTATTTCTATTCATTTACGGTACGAAATATTTGCATACATTGTGTAACATGGTTAAACAAACTTCGGAATAATTTTATTGAAATTAATGTTAATTGTGATTAATATTAAGTTTTATGTTATATGCTTCTGGACTTTCAATTTATGTAAATGGGTGTTTCTTAATAATCTATGCATTATTGATTTTATATGTTAACTTTAATAAATACGTTTCCAAATAACTTTCAACACTTGTAACGATTATTACTGCTTTTACAAATATTTCAAATGAATTATTATGGTGCGATATTAATAAAATAAATAATTATATATTTTAATTAATATTATAAAATATTAATTATGACTGGGTGACATAAAACCATATGTTTAAAAACTCTTTGTAAATTCTTTATGAATTGTTAGAAAATATTATTTATTTTTTGATAATATCTTTTTTGAAATTAAGTTATGCACTATAGAATTCCATAGTAATATTTTAAATACTTGTAAAAATGTTAAAGTAAATTACTAAAATATTTATTTCTTATAAATATAAATAAAATATTTTTAAAATGTCGCGCAAATTATAATTACAAAATAGTTAGGGAGGTGCTAGGTGTTTTGGGAGGGGTTAGGAGTGGGTTTATAACGGTGTATTAATAGTAAATAAACTTAAAATTGTATTACCAGAATCCAATAGGTGGCACTATCTATACGATTCTTAAAGGAGTGGCAACCAAAACAAAACATTAACCAAACCCCAACCCAATACTACTCCCATATTAACCGTTGTCCATGTGCGGCATGACCCTGTTTATATATTATATATTTAACTCGTTTGAATAGGTCGAATCACGGGTTTTTTTAAAACATGCTTATTAATCATTTAATTTTAGACCTTGATGTAAGTTTAATTTTTGGTTTCTTATAATTTATTGTAATGTACACAATAATTATATTATAATGAATAATAGTTTAAAAGTTATAGTATTTTTTGTTCTACGTCAATAACACAGGTACATTTTATATATTAATCACATAATTCATACATAATACCAGATTTTGTGATATTTATAGAGTTATTAACGATATAAATGTTCACAAGGTGCACATTTACCAGAAATACTCACTGATTTAGCAATGTCAAACAAACAAATTAATCATTCATTGCAAAATCACACTATATAAACACCAATCAAAAAAAACAAACTTATTATAAAAGTTTATATAATACTTAAAATATTTATAAACGACTTGAAAGTAATAATGAAAATATTTTATAAACTTCTTTTGTTAGCACTTGTAACCGAATTAGTAATCTGTAAGTTATATTAAAATTTAAATCTAAAATTTAATATTAATTAAATATTTTCCAACTAGGTGATTCGTCCGATTCAAGTGACTCGGACTCTGACTCGAACTCCGGTTCCCACAACAAACACCACCATAAGAAACACCACCAGAAAAAGGCCATAAACACGACCACACTGTCTACGTACCGGTGGTACAAAAACCTTTGCATATTGTCTACCAGCCCCCTGTAGTCTATGTTGAGTTTGATATGGTCAACCTATTTATAAACAACGGGTTCGACCAGTTGGCCACTCTATACCGCACACCCCTATCCACCCTGGGCTATAACCTACGAGCATACTTCACCAGTGTGCAAAATGACCAAGCTAACTTTGACTTTTATATGAACGGAGACATGACAGACATGTTGGCCGACTTGGGTCGCAGTTTGTCGACATTAAGGGAACAGTTATCCTATAAGGACACCGATTTTGTTGCGCACGTTAAGTACGTGGAGGATGTGCTAGCTAATTTACACGACTACACTAGACAAACGTTTAGCGTGGTCATCAAGGACAAACACGAAACTAAGCATGATACTATTTATAAGTCAACAAAGATCGGTGATACCCTGGTGGGACTGGTAGGCACTATGGGCCCACATATTACGAAGGACTCGGAGCTCCGTTTCCAGCGTTTGCTGAATGGGTTCTTCAGTGATGTCGACTCAGCCCTAAACCGAGCCCTTAATGCCCAGGCGTTGAGACTAGTGGTGGACCAACAGCTACCACCTCGGTATACATACCTTGTAACTTATAGCAATGAATGGAACAGGGTGTTTGATAACATTAAGACAACTTTCTACCAAGATGAGATTACTATGTCAATTAATTCTTATGTAATCTGTTTAATTATTTTATTGAGAAATAAATAGCATTATAAAATAATTTGGTAATAATATTGTTGGTTAATACATAATACTATAATAACTTTATACTGTATTGTACTATCAATATAATAAGTAGTTTTATGTAAACGTAATGTTAATTTTTAGTATGGATTTAATTTTTAATATTATTTTGTACACACAATCACTTACTTTGAACATAGGTACCTGAATGGGTATGTTTATAATGTACAACACAGTATGAGTAAAATAAAGATATTATTATTTATATTGGTATTATTAAAAAGTGTTATAGCAATAATTAATTGATTAAATCTAAGTTTATATTAAAATAATTTGTCATTGTACCATAAAAAATAAAATTAAGCATTTTAAAGTACACATATAATTTCTGTAAAAGATTCAATAGCACAAAAGGTGTTTTAAAATTATAATTAATTTTAATTACAAATATCCTTTATCTATACTTTTGGATTATTTAACAAATATTTTACATAATATTATAAGTTATAAAAAATCTTATTTATAAAATTACAACAAAAAATAATATAACAAAAATTATAAACTAAATTATTGAACTATATATTGAAAAATAAAAAAATAACTATAGTTGATCAAATAAGAATTTTATTTATTAAATCACATTTTTTAATGCTAGGATATTGTTTTTATTATAACAATATAATTAATTATAACAATTTAAATTTTATGCGGTTAACGGTTTAGAAAGTATAGACAATGCTAGTAGTTTGTGGTCCGTAAAAGGTTGCCTTGATATCATCGAAATCGGCGTTCAACTCGTTATGGAAGTCCACCAAATAAGAGTACTTGGCGGGTACCTGTCCATCGACCTCTATATAGGCTACGTGTTGATGTAGGACATTGTCGAGTGATTGATCCATGTCACCATAGAAAGCAGCAAGGACACGTTGAAATTGCAACAAATTATCAGCGCCGATTGAATCGCCCAAACCCTCCGATAATTTGACTAGGGCATCACCCAATTTATGTTGCTTGTAGATTGAATCGTGGTGACCCTCGTGTTCGTGCTTGGTGATCTCGTCGAACGACTTGCGGGTATAGTCTCTGAGCTTATCGAGCCTGTCCTCCACGTGCTTCAGTCGATCGGCGAAGTCTTTGGTGGATTTGTGGCCCAATTTGTCGCCGAAGTGCTGCAAACCGGTGCGCAAGTCCGCCAGCATATCGGCCACGTCCTCCTTCATGATGAAGTCGAAGTTATCATGGTCATTTTCAAAGGTATTGAAAAACAGGCGCAGGTTTGTGCCCAGGTCGGATAGGCGATCGTGGTAGGTTACAGCGAGTTGACCAAGGCCATTGTCATTGAGCATTCCGATTAAGTCGAAATAAACTCGAACAACGGGTCGGGATGTGGTTTGACCCTGGTAGACAGGGACATAGACAACGTGATCGTGGTCCTTTTTGTGGTGTTTCTTATGGTGCTTATGGCCGGATGAGTCGCTCGAGTCACTGGAGTCGCTATCAGAGTCGCTGGAGTCCGATGAGTCGGCTGTGAATTAGTGGTAAGTATTGATAATTTAATTATTTTATATATACGATAGTATTTTTATGACTTACCCAGTACAAGTCCAGCAACCAGTGCTAGAAAAAGTAAGTGATACAAGAAATTCATTTTATTTCAATTTCTAAATACAGATATTCAATGAAAATATTCTGTTATTTAATTATAATTGTACAGTGTGTTTTTGTCGCGTTTATATACCAAATATTCAATGAATATTATAATTAATTAGGTCATTAATTTTGTGTGTTTTTATGAATGAGTTCTGTATATTACGTCTGATAATTTACGTGTACAAATTAATTTATGTTTTTTAACAAGGTTATATTTGTAAAATCTTATAATTAATTACTTATTACAACTACAAAATATTTTAGATATATTATTTATACTCATATCATATATTTAGTAGTTGTGATAGAATAACATATACATTAGATATATTAATTATTTATGATAAGTCTATGGTACTATTGCACTATAGCAACTATGCCAATATAACATATTTTAAAACATAATTAATTATTCAGAATCTTGGACAAACTTTATATTTTAGAATTTTTAAAATAAAATAATAAATTATATATATGGTTTTTGTGATTTTTTATTCAAATAAACACATATATACAACACTAACGTATCATATTAAGAATATTCTTGTTATTTATTTAGTGTTTAATTGTTTTTATATTGTTTTTCACTGTATGTCACTACTGTGACCAACCGTCCAGGTATGACCTGGACTGTCCAGGAATTAGGGTATCTGTCCAGTGTCCAGGGCAAGGTCTCACCTGGACAATGTAATGTCCAGGAATTATATTTATCAAAAATTAAAGCAATACTGTGACCAACCGTCCAGGTATGACCTGGACTGTCCAGGAATTAGGGTATCTGTCCAGTGTCCAGGGCAAGGTCTCACCTGGACAATGTAATGTCCAGGAATTATATTTATCAAAAATTAAAGCAAAAATTATTTCATACAAATCACTTTAGCAGAATATTTCTACTGTAAAGTATAAATTTAATACATGTAATTCAAAGCTTATAAAAACAAACTGTATTTTAAATTTTAAAAGTTATATGTGTACAGACTTTCACACAAATTAGTAGAAAATATATATTAAATAATGTTCAATAATAGATCAATATTTTATTATTTCCTTAACGTTCACATTATTGTGAATTTATTTAATTGAAAGCATTGTATGAAAGAAAACAACATTTGAAACTCAATTAAATTAATTAATAACTATTAGAGACGGCTGTTCGGTCACACGACCGGCAGTACACTCTTACGACATTCTTAGCATCGGTTTAATAATTATACGCCAACAACAGACACGTGTCAATTGGATAACTGACTATCGGATCAAATGAGAGGACAATTTGATTGTGAAACTAATTGTTTGTTTACTTATTAACTATTTTAATGTGATATCAATTTAATATGGCATCAAAAAAGAGTGGATCACCGGATCGTAAAAAGTCTAAGCGATTGACTAAATTCAGTGATAGTTGGCTAGAAATAGAAGACAACAAAAATTGGTTACAAAAAAGTGATGATTTTACGGCATATTGTAAATTGTGTTTAACGAAATTCACTATTCAATATGAAGGTATTAAAGCGATTAATAGTCACAAAAGTGGTGTTAGACATAAGAAAAGTGAACAAACTGTAAAAATGAATCAAACATTGAGTTCATTTGTGTCAAAGTCTAAGCAATCAAGTGATAAGGATGTGATTATCGCAGAGTTATGTTTAACATACCATTCAATACGCCATCACTTAAGTTATAGATCAATGGATTGTAATAATAAATTAATTAAAGACTTATTTAAAGACTCGAAATTATGTCAAACCTTACAGTGCGGTCGGACTAAAATGGGAGCAATTGGCAAAAATATTCTGTGCCCACTATCTATTGATACACATTTAAATGCAATTCAAACAAAACGTTATTCTGTAGCAAGTGATGCATCGAATAAAGGAAATGTAAAATTATTTCCTATAGGAATACAATATTTTTGTATTTCAAAAGGTATTGTGAATTTCGTATTGGATTTCTATGAAGATGCGAATGAGACTTCAGATGCGATTCATTCAAAAATTACCAAATGTTTAGATAATAATAGTTTAAATGTTAATAATTTGATGGCATATTCTGGTGATAACGCGAGCGTCAACTTTGGGAAACATCATTCAGTTTATGAAAGTTTGAGGAAAACTAATCCATTTATTATAAAATCTAACTGTAATTGCCATGTGTTACATAACACAGCAAAACACTCATTACTTAAATTGCCATTTGATATCGAGAACTGCATTCTTAAAGTTTATTCACACTTTTCGATTTCAGCAAAAAGAGTCCAAGCATTAAAATCGTGTTATGATTTTACAGATAATGAATACGAAGAGATCAGAAGACATGTCCCAACCCGTTGGCTGAGTTTATATCCAGCAATTAATAAACTTATTGATAATATAATTCCTATTAAGCAATACTTTGTAGGCATTGGAACCGATGAATGTGCTAATATTATAAGTGATTTAGTTTGGAGTGAAACAAAGAATAACATAACGATTCCTGAATTATATTTACATATGTCATCACATTTAATGAACGTTTTTTATATAACTATTAAAACAATGGAGAAAACGAGTACTAATGCATCAAATTTATATGATTTGATGTCAACTTTAAAAGTAAAACTTGAAAACCGGTTAAATATGGAGTTTTTTGGTGTTGTTATAAAAGATAATTTGAAATATTTTAGTGAATCACAACAAAATGATTTTATTTCAAATGCAAAAATTGTTTATAATAGAGCTATTAATTATTTAATTACACACTTCGATTTTAATGAGACTCCATTTAAATTATTTAAATCTATTAATTTAGATTCAGATCTGGATCACGATATTCTCATTAAAATAACAAATTTATTGAACATTGATTTGGATAAAAATGAGTTATTTGACGAAATAAATTCATTTAATAATTTATTAAATAAGACTGAAATCAAAAATAATAATTTAACTGCAATTGAAAAGTACTGCAAAATTTTATCAATTAATTCAATGAATAATTTGACTAAAATTATTGAAGCCGTTATGTGCATTAATATTGGTAATGATTTTGTCGAAAGAGTATTCAGTCATTTGCACCGAATTTGGACCGATTCAAGGAATCGTATGAATATTGACTTAATTAAAGCAGAAATTTGTGTAAAGAATAATTTTGACTTCAAATGTATTGAATTTAAATCTTATGTTAAATCTAACGACAAACTTATTAATTGTGTAAAATCTCAACAAAAATATGATTTTAAGAAATAAATATTCGTTTTATTCAATAAAAATAGTTGTCCAGGAATTGTCCAGGAATTTGTCTAAATTTTTAAGTAAAAGTCCAGGAATCATTTTATTTGAGTTGGTCACAGTACCCCTAACAAAAGCCTTTATGCAAACATTCGAGAAATATTTTTCTAGTATTTTTCTAGAAGTCACATAATAGGTATTGTTAGGTATAGTTTTGTTATTATGTAACTATAGTCAGTGTATTACAATATCATTTGTACCTAGGTCATAATCTTAATGTAAAATCAAAAGCGCGTGTTTTGAGAGCTCGTAAAATTAGTGCTTTCCATTCAGTGCTATACAATGCATGCATTCATTAATTCAATAGTTTGACATTCACTGCAATTAGTGTGACCAGGTCAAAAACTTGGAATACTTGAAACCTAACACTAAAATACTTGACAATACTTGACCTTAATTTTTATTTAAGTTTTAATGACATTTATTTTAAAGTTTAGGTAAAATTCATCTCTATCTAAAAATTATGCTTAAATTTTACATTTATAAACAATTAATTATTTTAATTAATTAATATTGTTATGATAAAAATTTAGTTGTTTATTAAGAAATAAGTCTTTGTTATAGATTTAAAGCATAGTTTTACAATTCATTCAACATTTAATAGAAAATCAACGATAATTGCATCAAATAAGTAAACCCAATAATACAGTTTTGATATAAAACATTATTAAATCTTAAATAATATTAATATAATAATTATGAGGATTTTGAATGTAAATGTAATTTTTTGATTAGAACTTCATTACAAGTTACATAGTTATACAATTTTGACAACCAACTATTTTAAAAGTACCAAAAGCTTATGAAATTTTCAGTTTTGTGTTAAAATTCAAATATCATTTATTTCTATTATATGCATTATTTTTTTGTTTTTTCAAATATTTAACAAACATTTTCAAATTGATAATGCTACAATGTTTAAAATTTTATCACATTATATCAATTTAGCAAATACTTGACCTTATAATGTCAAGTATTTACCCTTCCCTTGATCCTTGACCGGACCCTCAAATACTTGAAAGTCAAGCCGGAATATTTGACCCTGGTCACGCTAACTGCAATGCGTATCGCACTGTATTAGCCTATAGCACAATACGGAAAGCACTAATTTTGCGAGCTCTCAAAACACGAGCTTTTGACTTTACATTAAGATTATGACCTAGGTACAAATGATATGCAAATTTGGTGATATATGCATAAAATGTTCATTATTGGTGAACATTTTGGTGCACTTTTCATCAAAATATTCAAGTGTTTAATATTTTAATTTTCAAAAAGAAATCCTTGGTTTGAAAATAAATACCCTTTAGTTTATATCGTTTTTATAAACCAAAACCTCGTGATCTAAACTCGCATTATGTTCAAGCTGCATTTTATTGCAGCACGTGTATATGCACGTTTAAAGCGATTGGCCATCAGTTATGCAGTGATTTATATTAGCACCCTGCTTATATTTGACAATATTTTGTAGAAATTTAAAATAGGTAATTGTATTATTTTGGGAAAAGTTTATTTTATAACACGTTTTCAGTTGATTACGAGCTATTAATTGATGTTTGCGAGTGTATATGAAAATGCATTGTTTTCGATTTAAATGCATATGCAAATAAAATCAAAATGTGTGCCAGATACATTGCAAGTAATATATTTGTCTGGTGATTTTATTGCTTCAAATTGGCGTATAATTGATAAATTATGTAAACTATCCGGGGTAACAAATAAATGTTTCGATGAGCACAGTGATATAGCAGAAAATGTTATTTCATCCAAATTA